TGCACCAGTCCCTTCATCCCCATCATTGTGCAGCTGTGTTAGCGTGCCCACCAGGAGAGCAAGCCTTGGGAAGTGTCCTGACTTGCCCAAGCAAAGACTTGTTGAACAATGAAGCTGGAGAAGTGGGAAGGGCTCAGTGTATGGAGGCTCTGGAATATATTTTATCTTGAGGGCAATAGGGAGCCACTGCAGGTTTTAGACAGAGAGACAGCATGATCAGATGTGGGCTGAAAGCTGAGCAAGGTTAAGATAGGTAGGGAGGAAAAGAGAAGGATGATCATGTGATTTCTGCTTCCCAGAGCAGGAAGAAGGGAGGCTTTACCTTGGTCAAGAGGGAAGGGGATGCGGGCAGGACAGATGGGAATAGAGCTGGCACATGTGACCTAGAATGAGCCATTTGAGCTGGAGGGGGGAGGAGGAGCTTGAGGTGACTTCACGATGCCTAATGCAGGGGCTGTGTTGTCTGAGGCAACTTACCGTGGTTCCCTGAACCTCAAGTTCCTCATCGGTGGAACAGGCTTCATCACGTACAACCTCCTGGGTTGCTGTGGGAGTTCAGTGAGATCACCAATACATGCAAAGCACTTACGGAGGCCAGCCTGGCACACAAGTGCTCGAGAGCCACCGAGACTCTCGGTGGGAAGTGAGGCATCGACACTATTTTTATTATAACCCTCACTGCTCGGAGCAGCCTCCCAGGTAGGCAGGGGTCTTCAGCCCCCAGGAGCGTTCCGTGCCGAGCCGGGTTTATTTCCAATGGGCTCTGGCAGATGACATCTCTCTGCTTCCCGGTGGGGAGGGTGGGAATGGCAGCCACGCATGCAGGTGCCACCTCCCTGCCCACCCTCCTCCCTCCCCTCCCCTGCTCCTGCTCCCCCCCCCCCCCCCCCCCCCCTGCCCCGTCTATTTCCAGCAACGAGGCTGCCTGAGGCCAGAGCCAGGTGTGGGTGGTGAGTCAGAGCCAGGCTGGGCGGACATGGTGGCCCTGGGGGCCTAAAGCTGTCACACTGTCACAGCCTCCCTCCCTGGGCATTTCCCGGCAGCCCTCCCAGCACTTTAAAGTGGGGGCCAGTGGGGGGGGTGCCTAGACCAGTGCCAAAAGGCCCCTCATCGGTTACAGAGCCCCAGCAGGCCCCAAATCTACGTGTCCCCTGGCTGGCAGTGGGGGCAGGGGCCCTGCCCTGTTTAGCTCCATGCCGGTACATCCAGGTCCAGACTTGGCGTGTGGCACGGGTGCAAAAGGGTTCACTGACTTAATGAGCAAACATGTGCCCCAGATTTACTTTTGCAAAGACAGAGGACAGGTTCTGGAGACAGTGTTCCTATGACCCTGGGCAGGTAGATTCGCCTCTCTGAGCCCCAGCTTGCTCACCTGTGGAACCAGGATAACAACGTGTGCCTTGTGAAGGACCATCGGGAGGGGACAGCAAGGGCCCCTCACAGAACTGTGAACCAGAGTGAGATCTAGAATAACACTGGCCACGTTTTGTTACAAGTATATTGCTATATGGGCTCCTCCCTGGGTGGTGAGCTGCTCCTGGGCCGGGGCTGGGTCTCACCCCTGCCAGGCCCCGGGCCGAGCCCAGAGCCAGGACCCCCCATTACATGATTGACTGACTCCATCCAAGACAGAAGCCTGTGGGACTGAATGGTGGTCCCTGGAGGCCATAGCAGGCCCCTGGCCACCCGAGTGCTCACTGTTTCTGTATGCCAAGAGCTTGGGTGACTTGTTTCCTCAAATTCCCACAGTGCTGCATAAGCAGGTCCTGTTATTACTCTCCCCATTTTGCAGATGGGGAAACTGAGGTTCAGGGATGTTAAGTCCCTTGTTTAGGGTCACAGGTTGACCTGGAGGAGGAGCTGAGGCCGGATACAGGTCTGCCTGGCCTGGTGATATTCTTCACGGTCCCAGAAGTGGGAGTTGGGAGGCATTGAGGGAGGATTTCCTTGCTGGTCTGTGCTGTCTTGGGGGGGACCTGATCTCAGGTGTCTGAAGGTCTGACGGCTCGTCTGTGTGCCCCCACCAGTTCGGAGGCCTCTGAGAGATGGGACTGTGACTCCAGGGTGCGGCCTAGGCTGTGGCATACAGCAGGTGCTCAGTGGGAGTTTCCTGGGTGAATGAGTGGTCTTCAGTCTTCTCTGCTGACTGGGTCCCGCACGGTTGAGAGGGCTACAAAGCACTCCACTAGAAGGGCACCAACCCAACCCGATAGCAGGCACACGAGTGGTTGCTACCCCCAGCTAAGTTGGCTTCTTAGGTCACTATTGCTCTGGGTCCAGCCCCAGATCAGCTCTCCCTCCCTTGCCTCCTGGCACTTGGGGACTCCTTTCCCCGACCCATGCCCTTCTATCATACCTGGCCACACAGGGACTTGCTTTCAAGGTCACTGAAGCGGCTCCGTGTCAGGTTGGCTGGGCCTTTTACATAAACGCTTTGAGTCTCTGAGCCTTTAGTTGTTGCTACAGCCCAGCTCCCAGCCCAGAGCACTTAGTAGGTTCTCAATAAATATCTGAATGCCTGTCTTCGGGCTCAGTGAATCCACAGGTCTATTGAACTCTCTGCTGGTAAAACTCTGGACTGATGTGTATGTATGTGTGTGTGTGTGTGTGATCTTGGCATTTTTGGACCTTGGTTGTCCCATCTTAGAAATGGGTACATTTGATGGACCCAGCCTGTCCACCCCAGTTTCCACTGCAGTGTGCTGGACAAACAGTAGACATTCCCATACACGGCCTCCCCCTACTGTGCACACCTAGATTTTGATGAACCTCACAAATGATTGTGGGGGAAGCAAAGTCCTATCGTGATCTGCGATCACCACGATTATTGACCCGAGAGCTAGTCTTTCAGTATGGGCTGGGGCTTTACAGTCCTCAGGGCAGGAGCAAGGTTCCTTCTGTTCTCTTCAAGGAAGCAGAATGCAGAGCATAGGGTGTGAATGACATCATTATAGGACTCAGTTGTTCCCCTCTGGATCTGCTTAACAAATTATGGAACATCTTCCAAGCACCTGCCCCTTGGGGATACACTAAAACGTGCTTTTGGAGCTCACATTCCGGTGGGAGAGACAGGGAACACAAAACTAAGAATGCGTAGTAAGTGAGAAGATGTTTTATTCTGTAAGTGCCACCAAGGAAGTCCACAGGGTGGTGGGTTAGAGGGGCAAGGGGATGGGGGTTACCCTAGCAGGGGATGGAAGTCAAAGCAGGCCCCCAGAGTTTTATGGGGGAACTTTGGGGGCTGCCAACTAGAGGCTGAGAAGGTGCTGACCTTGCAAAAATCAGAGGGAAGGGCATGGCAGGCAGAAAGAACAGCATGTGCAAAAATTGTAAAGGGGAAAGGGATCACTGTGGATGTTCTTATATTTTTAAAAAAGAAAATCGGGGGCGCCTGGTTGGCTCTGTCGGAAGAGCATATGACTGTGGATCTCGGGGGTGTAAGTTTGAACCCCGTGTTGGATGTAGAGATCCCTTTTTTAAAAAACTGCAATTCTTGGGGCGCCTGAGTGGCTCAGTGGGTTAAAGCCTCTGCCTTCGGCCCAGGTCATGATCCCAGAGTCCTGGGATCGAGCCCCGCATCGGGCTCTCTGCTCAGCAGGGAACCTGCTTCCTCCTCTCTCTCTGCCTGCCTCTCTGCCTACTTGTGATCTCTGTCTGTAAAAAAAAAAAAAAAAATTTTTAAAAAAAAAAAAAAAAAAAAAAAAACTGCAATTCTTTAGTTATTAGTAGTGCCAGATTGATTTCTTCCTTCAACAGACAAGCCCCCACTGGGTAGCCAGCCCTGTGCTAGGCCCTAGGGACCAACAGAGACGCATGAAAGCGACATTCTTGTCACACATCCTGGACCGGGCACCCCACGGAGATGAGCTGGTCTGATGTTTGCGAAGGGCTCCCAGCTTGGGTCCTCGGGGAATCCAAATAAACCCCCGCAGGTCCTTGCATCCCAGGCCTCCCGCCAGCCCACAGCTCCAGGCCTCTGTAGGAGAGAGGCTTCTGTTTCCTGCCTCTCCCTCCCCCACCCACCTGGGCACAGAGGGTCTTTCATCCATTGTTACTGCTTCCTGCCCATCCATCTCCAGCTGCTGGTCTGAACCCTGTAGATTTACACTGACAAGCGGATGCTTTTACCAAGACCCTCGAGGGGGTGGGGGATAGGGAGGGGAGCGGCCTGGGGGGAGGGGGAGAGCGGGGGAGGGAGGGATAGCGCTTTGTGACAAGGAAGAGTTTCCTGCGCTGAAGAGGTGTTAGACCCTGAGGGCTGAGAGGAAGGGAAGCAAGCCTCTGTCCCCAGAAGCTTCCTCCTGTTGGGAGAGGGAAAGGTTAATGACCCCTGACTTGGCAAGCCCCCCATGCCCCTTGGACTGGGTTTGGGTTCAGCAATATCTTCCCGGGACCCATTTCTGATGCATAGAGTGAGCACCGGACTTGGAATCAGGAGACCTGGGATGAGGTTCCATCTCTGCCAACTCTTCACCGGGTGACTTAGACAAATTTCTTAGCCTCCTTGGGCCTCAGGTTCCTCATCGGACAGGTGGGTCTAATAATCCATGCCCAGCAGTGTTGTGACCATGAACGTGATCTTGTAGGACAGATGGTTGCAAAATGCCACGATATGAAACACATTTTCTCTCCTGCGCTCTCTTGCCCAAAGCAGGGGGTTATGAACTGGCTCCTGTCAAGGGCGGCTTGATTGAGCATCTGCTGGGTGCCCGCTGCTGTGCCACAGTGCTGGAGAGAGGAGCAACAAGACTCAGTTCTCCTTCTCAGTGGAGACAGACAAGCAAGCCGACGTGCGTCACGCGACTCGCTGAAGTGTCCCAGTGTACCAGCCAAGTGTCTCTGGAACCAGCCTGCTTGGTCTCTGTCCCAGTTCTGTCATTTACTGGCTGTGTGGCTATAGGCAAGTCACTTAACCTCTCTGTGCTTCCATTTCCTAAATATATAAAATGGGGACCAATAATTACCTCGTAAGACTGTTATCAGGATTAAATTATTTGATACTTGTAAAGTACTCAGTATAGTACGTGCTATAGAATATGCCTTAGTAAATCAAAATTACCATTATTACAGGGTTTGCATTTTGCCCGGAACCACAGGAGTCTGGTCCCTGAGCTGGAGCGGAGGTAGCCAAGCCTGGAGGAAGCTGATGCTGCGCGGACATCTGGCGGGGCACTAGGGTTCCGTGGCTGCCTGTGCCTGTGTCTCTCCTGGGACAGCGTGGAATCAAGCACCTGTGGGTCCGGCCAAAGTGGTCATTTGCATGAAATTGGAGCAGGTCCTGAAGCCCGAGGGGCCAGAGCTTCGCAAGGAAGAGTGGCGGCCACGTGGTCCTCCCAGGCAGCGAGATGTGGAACCACGGCTGCAGTGGGTTCCTGGTCCGAGGCACAGAGCCGACAGCAAGGGCACCACATGGTCCAGACCAAGCTGTCGGAGGGGCTGGCCATACAGGCTCAGACCCCTGCCTGGCAGACGGAGAACCCTCAGCTGGACACCATCCCCCTCTGCCTGGGTGGAAGCAAGAAAACTCCAGGAACCCCCTGAACCCCAGAAAGAGGGAGGACCAGGATCAGAAGGCATTGGGTGAGAATGAACTACTGGGTTTATTGACCTTTTTCTCCTCCTGGAATCCAGGGTTTGTAAGGGACCAAGACCCTCAGCGCCATTCTACTCACATACACGTGGTCTCTGGACCGTGTGACTCATTTCAGATCAAAGCTAACCCAGGAAAGAGCAGAATCCCTGACCACTGCTGTCACTCCAGATGACCAGGAAATGCTGCGGGGGTTTCTTTTTCTGTAGTGACTAAGGAACCACATGACCTAATGAGTCGGAAATAATCCTATACATTAATTAAAAGACAAATGATCATATAGAGTAGAGTTGTTATGACTACAGGTGCTGATAAAGTCAACACAGAGTGGGGAGGGGGTGGCCTAGGGGACCTCCAGCCTAGCCCACGGTGGGCGGAGTCCAGAGAGATGGAAAGAGCTGAGCCTTAGGTGGTGAAGCAGCAGCGGGAAGGGTCCTTCTGGCAGAGGGCACGGGCCTGAACAAAGGTGTGGAGCTGAGAAGCGGCCTCAGTGATCCAAGGGTTGCTAAGGAAGAGCCAGACGAGCCACGGGGGCCCATGAGGCCGAGCTATGGAACTCAGGTCCTTTGAGCCACGTTAAGCTATGGGGTCACGATCCTGGGGACAATGAGAAGGTTGTAAGCTGTGCACAGACAGATCCGATTTTGAGTTTTGCCAACCATCCTGGTTGAACTATGGAGGAGGGACTGGAAGGGTGGGGCGAGAAGACAGGCAGATCACACAGGAGACTTGAGTGGTAAAAGGGAAGAAAGGTTTCCTGTCCCTTGGGGTTGTTTTATTTTTTATTATTTTTTTAAAATATTTTATTTATTTATTTGACAGAGAGAGACACAGCAAGAGAGGGAATGCAAGCAGGGGGAGTGGGAGAGGGAGAAGCAGGCCCCCTGCCGAGCAGGGAGCCCGAAGAGGAAGTGAAGAAGAAGCGGGGCTCAATCCCAGGACCCTGGGATTATGACCTGAGCCCAAGGCAGACGCTTAACGACTGAGCTGCTTAATGAGGGCGCCACTGGGGTTGTTTTAAAGGCTAAGTGGCAATACTACTGATAAAGGGCCTAGCACGGGGCCTGGCACATAGTGGGTATTCACAGCTCGCAGTGAGCATAGCTAATGCTGAGGGGTCTGGACTAGGGCAGAGGTGGTAGGGATGGAAGAGGTCACTGGCTTGAGAAACACTGAGAAAGGCAAATCTGGGGGCGCCTGCGGGGCTCAGTGGGTTAAGCCTCTGCCTTCGGCTCAGGTCATGATCTCAGGGTCCTGGGATCGAGCCCCACTTCAGGCTCTCTGCTCAGCAGGAAGCCTGCTTTCCCCTCTCTCTCTGCTGCCTCTCTGCCTACTTGTGATCTCTCTCTCTGACAAACAAATAAAATCTTAAAAAAAAAAAAAAAAGGCAAATCTATAGGAACCATTGACTGACTGGCTATGGGGGTAAGAGGAAAGGAGTCAAGAATTCCTTCAATATTTACAAAGCACCTGCATGTCCGTGAGCCTTCTTCATCCAACCACCGCATTTTTGTTGAGCATCTACTCTGTGCCAGGCACCTCCTAGGGGCTGAGACTATGAAACAAAGCAGAGGTGGTCTCTGGTCCTGTGGAGCTCCCTGATCAGACTTCGTGAACCACAGAAGGACCAGGAAGGAGCTCCAGGCCTTGGTACCGGCCGATCTCTCTCCTAGAGATGCCCTCCCCGCAAAACCTTCTCACAGTCCAGTCCCGGCTCAAGTGCCCCCTCCTTCTAGAGGCCTCCCTGGCCACCCCCGCTCCTCTTCACCCCGGAACTTATTGTTTCCCTTGGAACCCTCCTCTCAGTTGGCAATTCCTCGGTTATCTGTCTTCCCACTCCTCGGACTAGAATCCTCGAAGGCAGTGCCCACTGTCTTGCTCCTGCTGTTCCCACGGGCCCGAGGAGCACCTGTCCACTCCCCTGCTAACTTTCCGTGAACTCTGGGTTGGGTCCAGCCAGTTCACCAAGCCCTGCAGCGCCTCCCAACTCCCCTTTTGTTCAACAGACAGCACTGTCTCCTTTCCCCAGCGTCAGGGGAGTAACTGCGGGTTATCTCGTCATCTATCAATCTCTAATAAACCGGGTTATTTTTAGAACAGGTGAAAGCAACGATCTCACATCTCTGAGAGGATTTTCCACTCGCATCTGACTTTCTACTACAATTTGGTTTCCTGTGGTGGTTACAGAGGCTGCCAAGCCGGCAGGCTTTGTTACTCCGAGGCGTAGAGAAGGGCCTACAGAGAAAACCAAGCCTCGCCCCGCACCCTCGACCCTGCGTAGAGAGAGAAGCCAGGTGCGTAGTGCAATCCCCTGGCGGACGGTGGGAAGCCTGGAGGAAGCCTGGCGCTCTCTTCACTTGCTGTGTGATGCTGGCCTCCTCACATACCCTTTCTGAGCCTCAGTTACTCCTCTGTAAAGGGAGGGGGAAGGAGGGCTAATTACTAAAGACCTCTGGCTGCTAAGATTTGGATGGAACCACGAGCCAGTGGTTTTTTCCATCCCTGGACATCCATTAAATGACACCCGCTCTTTCTATGAATGAAATGTAGTCAGTGCCTCTTAGAACACGTATGCAAATATATGTAAATTAATACAACATAAAGGACACCCCCCCCCAAAGCTCCTGTCCGTAAAACCAAGGTCTGGCCAGAAACTTAGCTCATGCTGTCACCTTGCTTGGATGTCTCGCCCTAGACCCCACTCTATAGAAAAGACTCTGAGGCCCATAGAAGGAAAGTGACTTGCCCGAGGTCATGCAGCAAGACCTTGCCAGGGTATAGTAGCAGCCAGGTGTCCATTCTGGCACTTTTCTCACCTGCCCTTCTTGCCCTTCAGTCACAGGCCTGGGGCTAGCGCCTAGCTTGAAGGGAACAGAGGCAGCACAAGTGGCGGCTAGGATAAACTTCATTAGGAAATTCAACCAAAGTACTCGGTATGCAGATCAGGGAGAGGTCCTTCTGTGAAGATGTCCTTTGAGTTCTATGTTGAAAAATTGGGATGTGGGGAGATCATCCCATGTGGAGGGGACAGCATACACCAAGGATACAGATAACAGGAGAGCACTGCCATGCACAGGTGTCCCCACTTACAAAGACAACTTCAAGACAAGCCCCCAAGGTGTCCCCTGCTAACTTGAATGCACCCCATAGTCTCTTTTAAGTGGAGATTATGGAGTCTTCCCTGCCTGTAGGATGGTACACATGTAGGGGAATAGTACAGAATAAGTCTGGGTAGCTACCTGGGGACCAACAGGCCCCAGGCCAGAAATGAAAAGCTAGGGAATCTGGACTTTATTCTGAGAGCAATAGGGAGCCATCGAAGGTTTTAGAGCAATGAGAGAAATCACCTGATTCATGTTTAGGATGACCCTATTGGCACTGGCAACAAAGAAATCAGTTCAAATACTGGAGCAATCATCCCAGGGGTAAAGGGAAAGGCCTGAACCAGGTCAGGGAAGCAAACGTAACGCACGGGCATTTGTCTGAATGGAACAGTCTGAGCCTGTCTGGAGAGGGAAGCAAGGGAGAGGACAGAGCACAGTGGGTTTGCTTAATTAGGAGAGGAAGGGAGCTGAGTCCTGTCCTCTCCGTCCTTCTTATGACTGGCTACTTCCCCCAAGCTGGTGCCCAGGCAGTGGGGAGGAGGGTGCCCGGGAACAGCTGCCTGCCAGGAATCTGGGACAGACGGCAGCTTGACTTTGTTCTCTGGGGATTTTTAGTTTATTTCTCTAACTTCTTAAGGACAGACCTGAGAGCCTTAGGGGACCACAAGGAAAGTATTTCTCAAACATTTATTTAGTACTCACTAGGGCAAAGTACTAGTGTGGGGGACAAATATGGTGAGGCCAGGTCACTTGAATCTCAAGCTGTGACATGAGATGTACACAAGATTTTTTTTTTTTTCAGATTTAATATTTACCTATATGACAAGCTCTTAAATGACATCTGTTATGGGTTGAATTATGTCCGCCCCCCAAAAGTTATGTTGAAGTCCTGACTCCCAGAATTTCAGAATGGGACCTTATTTCGGACTAAAGTTGCTGCAGATATAATTAATTAAGATGAGGTCATATGGGAGTGGGGTTGTCCCTTAGTCCAGTAGGACTGGTATCCTAAGAAGAGAGAGCAGCATAAGGGAAACACCATTGTTGAGAGAGGCAGAGACGGGGGCAATGCGGCTAAAAACCAAGAAATGGCAAGGATCGTTGGCCACCCCCAGAAGCTAGATAGAGGCAAGAAAGGACTCTACCACTCTACCCAGAGTCTTGGACAACACGACCTGATGACAGCTTGTTTTCAATCCTCTAGCCTCCACAACAGAGAGAGAATAAATCTCTGTTTCCTGAACCCCAGGTTTGTGGTACCTTGTTATAGTAGCATCAGGAAACTAATAACACATTGAAATCAATCACATTTAACTTTTGTCCATCGCCTGCTCTGGTCACCACTTTAAAAGCTGTCCCTTTCTAGAACAGACATGCCCACGTCACTCCTTTGTTCAAAACTTGTCCCCAGCTCCCCAGTGCCCAGGCGATGCTTGGAAAGACTCCTTCCCTGGACCCTGAATGCTCCCCAGCCTCTCCTCTCAGCACTTTGCCCTCCACTATCAACACCAATACACCATCTCCTTGGGGGGGGGGCCCTCCCTCTTGTTGCCCCCAAACCTGTTCCCTCTTCCCTCTCTTTGGTAGGGTGGTGAAGAGCAGACTGCCTGGTTTTGAGTCCTGGCTCCCCCATTTCCTAGTGTCTAGCAGGGACACTCTGGGTAAGTTTTTATTCTAATACCTCAACTTTCTCACTTGTAAAATGGGAATACTAGAAGCTCCTATCTCAGGATTGAGGATGGAAAGATATAAAAGCTTTTAAAGGGCTTAGCCTTTTAATCTGGCACATGGAAGAGCAGTTACTATGACCTCCCTTATGCTTGGTGTGCTGTCTTGCAGAAGGTCTCTCTGCCCACTACGCCCACCCCCCCCCCACGGGATTGTGTCACCCAGGTGTTGTACCTGTCTTGTCATATTTTCTGTCTCCACCGGATTATGCACTTCTCCAGGAAGGGGCCATGCTGCATCCATGCATCTGAGCACACAGCAGGTGCTCAATAAATGCTTGTTGACCGAACTATTGAGCAGAGAATTGACCAAGGAGATCTGGAAGGTAGAGCGTGGGGATAGCTTTCACAGGACAGTCTGCATGTCTGCCTGGAAGTGAAAGTTGTACTCTTAGTTCTGAGAGCACGAGAAAGAAAGTGATAACCAGAGAGAAAAAGGCAGCAGGCAGGGGGCAGAAACTGCACCCTGCTCCAGCACCCTGACCTTGCCCCCAGCCCCAGCACATCCTGCCCACCCCCCCCGCTGTGGCGCCCCTCCAAATGCTGTCACCCACGCACACCTACCCCATCCCCAACCAGCAGCTTCCTCTGACACACATTTTCCATTGCTGGGTGGTGTAGAGCAGGTTCCAGGTGAAAACAATCTCTGGGGGTTCCTTTTTGGAGTACTTACCCCATGTCCTGTCCCTGCTGAACTGTCCACAGCCCCTGACTTCCATGGCACAGCATCAGTCTGGGGCTGGGACATTCAAGGCTATATGGGGTGTCGCCTGATGTCTCGGGCCAGGTACAGGATGGGGAGACAGGATGCTGGCTCCATTGCATTCGGGCTGTGTGACTCTGGGCAAAACCCCTTCCCTCTCTGAGCCTTCTTTTCTATAAAAAGGAGTAGTAATGCCAGTCCTCTGAGACTGTTGTGGAAATTACATGGGACAACGGCTAGAGCATGAATAAGCTCTACCACTCTGTTTGTGGGGACAGGGCAGGAGTGTGGGGGCCACTGGGAAGGTCCCCTTCTCCAGGCCCAGCGCCGTGCCTGGCATCACTGAGGGGTTGCAAGTGTTTGGTCCCAGGTGATCCTGAGTATGGGGGAGGGGAGCCTAGACTCTAGCAGAAAGAACATGAGCATGGGAGTTAGAGACCTGAGCTCGCCCCCTCACTCCCGACTCCATGACTTGGCATGTCCTTTCTCCTCTTGAGGTCTCAGTTTCCCTGACTTACAGCAGCAGGACTAACTCCGATGCTCTCTAGGTCTTCCAGGTCTGAAATCTCATGCTGTGCTAAGTGAAGGCATGGCTGGGGAAGGCTGGAACAGACTTCTGAGTTTTCAGAAATCATTTTAAAGCCACTCTGGAAACCCTGGGGTGAGATCCCGGCAGGGGGCCAGTCTTCCTTCATTTCCTCTCACCAGCTTCTGTTGTGTCACTGGCCAGCCAGCATCACTGCCCAACTTATCAACCAGGTTCTCTTCTTCTGGTTTCACAAGCCTCTGTTCTTCTTTCAAGACCAGGTTGGGTGTTCCTTCCTCAGGAATCCTTCCCTGACACTCTCAGGGACATCTGGGCAGCTCCTTCCTCAGAGCTCCCACTGCCCCTCCTAGAACCCTCCATCACCACACTGACCTCCCTCGTTTAGACGAAGTGTCCATCTCCCTCACTGGGTTTGAAGGAAGATTGGGGTCTTCCCCATTGCTGCACACTCAGCATCCAGCCCGGACCGGGTGGAGGACAGGATGGGGGGAGATGAATGAACGGCTGGAGGGAAGAATGAAGGCATCGAGAGAGGGATGTTGGAGGAGTGGACAGGTGGATGGAGTGTGGATGGCCGGTTGGATGGCGGGATGATTCCATAGGCAGATGGACAGTGGATGGCTGTGAACAGGCGGGTGTATGCTCAGCTACTAATCATGATTTTTAGTACCGCACACACCTCTGGAGCCACCAGACACACACTCTGGACTTGCCAGGGACACCCCCTCCCCTTGCTTCCAGCCTTTATTCTGGTTTCTCCTCCAAAGCCTGGATGTGGGTCTAAGAATCCTCCCAGGTCTCTGCACATGGGAGCCTGGGTAAGCTGCCCATCAGAAGGCCTCACCCTTATCATCCCATCTAAATTTCCCTGTATGAGGGTGAAAATGACCGTGACCAATTCACTGTGAACTCCAAGTACCCCACTAGGCTCGGGAGTGGGTGTTTCTAGACAATCCAGTGTTTCCGCTGGGCTGTGGAGGCCAAGATGCCAAGGTGATCTGCTGGCTGCTGTCCAGCGCACCTAGTCCATTACCACTGCAGACCTCCCCTCCGGCATAGCCCAGGGCTTCCACCCAATCACAGCTCCCCCAAATGAGAATTGTACAACTTATGAGGAGTCCCTGGTTCTCTTTAGCCACCCTATCCTCAGGGACAGGTCAGAGCCCAGTTTGGAGGCCTGTTACCTTCCCCCAATCTGTCCCATAGAATCAACTGATGTAGAAACATTACGGATTTGGGGTGAGAGGATGTCAGTTGAAGTTTTGTCTTCTCAGCCCTTGTCAGCTACTTCACTCTAGGAAGCGGGGATTGGCCCAGAGGCAGAACAGAGCAGCAGGAAGAGACAGGCCTTGGAACCACCAGAGATGTAGGTTCAAGTCATGTCCCACAGGGAGTGTGACCCCACTCTGAGTCTGCTTCCTCATCTGTAACGTGGGAGAAACAGCACCATGCGGCTGGCAGATCTGTTGTGAGGTTCCGCAGACCCTGACCCACGCTGCTCAATGAGATGCCTTTCAAGACCAGTGTGGCTGCTGAGCACCGGAAACGGGGTCCGGCTCAATGGAGACGTGGCACAGGTGTAAAATCATCATTGGATTTTGAAGACCTGGAAAAAATGCAACCCTCACTTAAAAAAAAAAAAAGATTTTATTTATTTATTTGACAGCGAGAAAGCGAGAGCAGAAACACAAGCAGGGGGAGTGGGAGAGGGAAAGCAGGCTTCCCACTGAGCAGGGAGCCCGATGCGGGACTCGAACCCAGGACCCTGGGATCAGGACCTGAACTGAAGGCAGACGCTTAATGACTGAGCCACCCAGGTGCCCCCAAAATGCAAAAATCCTTAAGAATTTTTATATCACTTTTAATTGATGATATTATACATTGATAATATTTTGAAATACTCAGTTAAATAAAATGTTATTAACGATCTTTTAATGCTGCCACTCAGAAGTCCCTCCGCCTTCCCAGCCTCCCCCCAAGTGTGACTGTCCCTCCCCTGCGGAGCCTCAGGCTTTGTATATGCTTCTGTAATGGCTTTTGGCAAATATTGTGGTCATCTGTTAAGGTGTCTGTCTCCCCAGCTAGTCCAGGAGCTCCTGGGGGTCAGGAGCTAGATTGTGGTCATCTCTGCTCCCAGCTCCCTATACAGAGCCTGACACACAGCAGATGCTCGAGCAGATAAATACGTATATGGGAAAGCACTGTGGGTTTTTATGATTCTGCTGTACCTGGAGTCCTTGACGAATACCGCAGGATACATGTCATGCTAAAACCATGATCAGGGCCTTGGCAGGAAACAGATGGTGCGCTCAAGTGGAGTCATTTGCAGAGAGTTTAATTAAGAGGTTATTAACAAAGACGTGGTTAGGATTCAAGGCAATCAGGGGGGATGGTGCAGTATCCTAGGCCTGGCAACAAAGAGGAGCTGTTACCACCTCTAGCCCGAAGGATGGAGAGGGAGAAGTTACCCAGACCTGGGCCCAGAGATGTAGATACACACGGAGCCCCCTGTAGAGACTGGAGTCCTTAGGTGAAGGGCTGGGGGAGTAACCACACACCCTCTGGCCTCTGGCTTCCCAGCCAGAAGCTAAAGGGCAAAGGAGGCTGTTGATGTCACCCATAAAATTCACCTACCAGGGAATAGAACAGGATGGAGAAGGGCCGTGGGGAGTTCTAGAGGGGCAAACAGAGAAATCCAGTGCTGGAGGGAACATTATACCCCCAGGATCTTTCAGGGCCTCTGGACATCCTTATAAAGTGCAAAATATGGCCACAGCCAAGCACAGTCTTTAGGTAAGCAACTGTATGCCAGGTGCTGTGCCTGTCCGTTTTCCAGGCTCAGAGAGTCCAAGTGACCCGCCCAGAGGCACACGACAGGAAATGGTGCAGTCAGGAATGGGACCCAGCTGGGCCCCGAGCTCGGGTCCTCATCACCACTTCTCAGCCACGCCACCCGTGCTGTACTGAGCACTTTGTCTACATTATCTCTAATCCATCAAAACTGCAAGGTCGTGTCCTTTTCCTATCTCAGAGAGGTTGAGCGATTTCTCCAGGGCCACACAGCTCGTGGGGGATGGGAGGGAGGCAGAGAAGCAGGGTTGGTGACTTTGCCATTAATTACGGCAAATGACTGGCAGATTGCACGGTGGCAGCCTTGGGGATTTATTTAGCCTCAACGGGTGGAGCCACCTCTCAGCAGGTGCCTCCTGGAGTCACTCCCCAGCTGCAACCGCAGGATTTAGATTTTCAGAGCTGGGCAGGGCCCTCAGCATCCTCTCGGCTGGCTCTCGACTGTGGCTCTGAAACTAATAACTGCAGGAGTGATGGCCATGGTTTCCAGAGCCCATGGTACCTTTACTCGAGGTCTTTCTCTGCATGCTCGGTTAATCTGACCGTGCCTCTCCCTTAGGACTGTATAATGTCTTGTAGCCAGGTATTAAGGGTTTGCAGATCAAGAACTGAGTCCAAGAAGGAAATGGCTTGTTCGTGGAGACCGGGCAAAGCAGATGTCGTGCAGCCAGAGCAGCCCTGAGGGCCGAGGATGCCGCTGAGAGCACTGGTTTTGGACCCGGACAGGGTGGGTTCATCCTGGCTCTTTACCTGTTGGAGGTAGTGACCTTGGCCAGGTCACTTTTTGGTGTCTCGGTCTCATCGGTGAACAAGGATGACAGT